TCTTTTTAAAATATTGTTTAGACATTTTATAGCTGTTAAATGCCAAAAAGTTTAAATGTTTCATATGAGTTTAATAAATAAAAACAAATCCCCATGAAATGAGATAAAATATGTAAATGTAAGAATTTTTCAGTCGCTTTTGGCCTATTTCTACATTGAGAGTGATTTCAATGCAAAAAGTTATAAACCTTAAGAGCCAATTATCTCAGCTCACTTGAAAGATTTTTTTCAAATGTTAATCACTCCTTGTTGAACTCTCTATTAATTGATATCAAAAAAATTTGTACGTGATGACCGAGCCCTTATAAAGCTTACAACATAAACAACACTACCATTCTCATTCCATATTAATGTGTAAAAAAAATCCAACTGAATAAAAATCGGTCGGCAATCAATGGATAGGCAACACAAATAAAAGCATACAGTAAGTATACGTGCACGCACATGTAGCACCACACACGTGTTAGTAAATTTGAAAGTGCGAATTTCTCGATCATTAGCCTCTGGTGTTAATGTATGGTAATTTAAAAGTAGGCCTAAAAAAATCAGTAACTCAATAAGATAGTGTCTATCTAGCTATATATGCGAGATTCTTCTCGATTTAAATCACTTTGGTTTGTACGTACGCAAAGCTTGTGTTATGCCTCTTCACGTGTAAGCCTCTTAGTTACCTTGGAAATAAAAAATTGTAAAATAAACTTGTCACAAAAATTAAAATTTAATGGAAGCTGCAAAATGTTGAAATTCAGATAAAAACAATTTTTTATTCAATAAAATTTTTGATTTAAGGTTGCAAATATTGTAATTAACTAAGTTGTAGTTAGAAACTATTGAAAAATTAGTTAGTTGTTTTAAAATCAAGTAGTCATTAATTATCTTCTAACTAAGTAGTTGGTTATTAACTAGTAGTTTACTGTTTATAATTAGTAACTTAACTACCCACAACTGCTCGGTGTCTTAGATAATACCAGTGACATTTTGAACAACCACCATTACATACAAACAAACGCTGTCACGTACGAAGATGCACTGCATATGTAATATGTATAGTACATACACCACATACACACACGCACACACACATACACACACACACACAAACACACGCGCACCCAGGCACACACACACACGCACAACGCGCATGTTAACGTCATGGTTCACTTCGAATAATCTATCACCATAGAACTAAATTTTTTAAGTTTTCAATGCAAATTATCAACAACCTATTGTTTATTTATCAAAAAACTGATCAAATTTCAAGTTTAATAGAATCCAACTGTTAAAATAA